CGTAAAATCTGTGTGACACACATGCGAGTGAAATATTTTTTTATTGCCCATTAGTTCTTAATCGTTTTTAGCTCCCCTGATCACGACCGCAGTCAAAGAAAACCGCAATTGTCGAATGACGTCAACAATCTTCAGCTATGACGTCGTATCTAGTGTGACGTCACTGTGACCGTATGTGACATAAGATTCGCATGATGTCAAAAAAATTTCTTCCGGACGACGGATACAATACACTGGTGCGCCTGAAGTGATATTTGCACTGTGCACACAAGATTTTTTATCAACTCTATTATTTCTCACCTTATGAGTAATACAAGTATTTTGAGTGATATAAACGTACATTATGAAGAATATATCATGTGAAGTATCGGTATACTGGCGAACGGTCGGAACTGACGCCCAGAACACGTCCAAAGCTAAATGTTACCGAGTACCTAAAGCCTTTGATAAAAGTGCTGTTTCATGATTCTGTACTTGTCAAATTCACGACTTCAGCGCACAGGCGGCCAGTACGTTTTGTTTTCGGTCAGACGACTTCATCTATGTGCCGCTATTATACTTAGAACACTTTAATCCCGTGCCGCTAAATATACCAGAGCACTTAAATCCTGTGCCATTAAATATATGACCAGAACACTTAAATCCCGTGCCGCTAAATATACGACAGAGCACTAAATCCCGTGTCGCTAAATATACCAGAGCACTTAAATCCTGTGCCACTAACTCTATGACCAGGGCATTTAAATTCTGTGCCATTAAATATATGACCAGAACACTTAAATCCCGTGCCGTTAAATATACGACAGAGCACTAAATCCCGTGTCGCTAAATATACCAGAGCACTTAAATCCTGTGCCACTAACTCTATGACCAGGGCATTTAAATTCTGTCGCTAAATATACCAGAGCACATAAATCCTGTGCTGGTAAATATACGACCAGAGCACTTAAATCCTGTGTCGTTAAATATACCAGAGTACTTAATCCTGGGTCGTTAAATATACCAAAGCACTTAAATCCTGTGCTGTTAAATATACGACAGAGCACTTAAATCCTGTATCGCAAAATGTACCACAGCACTTAAATCCTGTGTCGTTAAAAACGCGGTCACAACACTTAAACTATGTGTCGGTAAAAATACGACAGAACACTTTAATCCTGTATCGCTAAATGTACAACCAGAGCATTTAAATCCTGTGTCGCTAGATATACGACCAGAGCACTTAAATTATCTGCCGCTAAATATGCGGACAGAGAAGTTAAAGTTAAAACATAAGGACCTTTCCTGCGGCGCAATTCAGCCGTTCAGATGCGCTTCCCTTAATCATGCAGACCGCCTCCGTGGTCTAGTGGTAGAGCGTCCGCCCGGAGAGCGGAAGGTCCGGGGTTCGATCCCCGGCCGCGTCATACCAAAAGACGTTAAAAGATGGTACTTGTTGTTACCCTGTCTGGCGCTGGGCATTTAGAGGCTTAAACAAGGACTGGTCGGCTCGGAGTTAGTATACTGTGTCTGAGTGGGATATTCATGTTAAACTGCAGCATGGTATCTCAGTGAGCTAGCACTATAAATCGGCATCAGTCCGGACTAGTACAAGCAGCCACACACACACACACGTGCATGCACGTCGCAATATAAGTGCATAATCTTGGACGCGACGTTAAACCCCATTTCACCTCACCTCACCTCACCTCACCTCACCTTAATCATGCATAGATACATTTTACGTCAGTTCGAATCCAAGATTTGCCCTGATTATGACAACTAGTTTGATAGTACCATACTCGAAGGTTTTACTTAACTGGTAACGTTCGATGACGCACGTGTGGTCTTTGTCCTTTAATATTTGATCCGTGCGCACATAGCTCTCTGACATATGATCCGAGGAAGCTCGTTTGGTCTATGTTTTCTGATAAATGATCCGACGAAGCACGTGTGGTTTCAGCTGTCTGATATATGATCCGACGAAGCACGTGTGGTCTATGCTGTCTGATAAATGATCCGACGAAGCACGTGTGGTCTATGCTGTCTGATAAATGATCCGACGAAGCACGTGTGGTCTACGCTGTCTGATATATGATCCGACGAAGCACGTGTGGTCTATGCTCTCTGATATATGATCCGACGAAGCACGTGTGGTCTATGCTGTCTGATAAATGATCCGACGAAGCACGTGTGGTCTATGCTGTCTGATAAATAATCCGACGAAGCACGTGTGGTCTATGCTGTCTGATATATGATCCGACGAAGCACGTGTGGTCTATGCTCTCTGATATATGATCCGACGAAGCACGTGTGTTCTATATTGCATGGTGACTCGACAAAACACCTGTGGTCTATGCCCTGTGGCCCATATAAGCACATGTGTCCAATACTTTCTGACATGTGATACGACGAAGCACGTGCTGTCTGATCTCTCTTCCATGTGACCCGAGAAAGCAAGTATATTTTATTCTCTATGCTGGTCCAAATAAACGCACGTGTGGTATATGATATATACTACTATGATAATCATATGCAAGTGTGTTCTCTGTCACCTGACATTACTTTACCACCAGTGACGTAGCGGGTTTCTGTTACTCACTCATACAGACCCGTGAAGATCCGGGGTAGAATAGGTCTTCAGCAACCCATGCGTGCCGTGAAGATCCGGGGTAGAATAGGTCTTCAGCAACCCATGCGTGCCGTGAAGATCCGGGGTAGAATAGGTCTTCAGCAACCCATGCGTGCCGTGATGATCCGGGGTAGAATAGGTCTTCAGCAACCCATGCGTGCCGTGAAGATCCGGGGTAGAATAGGTCTTCAGCAACCCATGCTTGTCCCCCCGTGAAGATCCAGGGTAGAATAGGTCTTCAGCAACCCATGCTTGTCCCCCCGTGAAGATCCAGGGTAGAATAGGTCTTCAGCAACCGATGCATGCCGTAAAAGATGACTATGCTTGCCGCTAGGCGACTAACGGAATCGGATGGTCAGGATCGCTGACTTCATTGATGCATGTCATCGTATCCCAATTGCGTGTATCGATGCTCATGATGTCAATTACTGAATTGTCTGGTCCAGACTCGATTATTTACAGACCGCCGACATATAGGTCGACTATTGCTGAGTGTGGTGTTAAACAACAAACAAACAAAGAAAACTCACTCATGCAAAATAAATAAATAAATATATGGCACCACGAAAAAGACAAGGCTAAAAAATATATGACCATACGTTATGTATTTGCTTGATTTGTTATTTTACACCACAAGTTACTTTTTTTTTACATTTTCAACTTTTATTTGCAGTCAAACATGACCTGACAGCCATTGCTGTGTACATTTCCGTAACGTTAAAGCGATGTGTGATTGACTTGACTGTTCATGTCACACTGGCACTATTGTCGACATATCGTGAGTAGGTAAGGTCTGTCTGACACAGATTTGAATGTAAGATATATCCAGTGTGTCAGACTGATGTGGGAGGAAAGCCCGAAGTGATGCAGGTCTCAGTTGTTTACCCCCTTGGTGAAATCCACGAGCACGGGTATGGTGCTGACAGACGAAGAGCCTAAAAAGGGAACATTTAGGATTCAAACTCACGATCAGCGAATGCTGGTACGGCCATGGGACGCAACTCTGCACAGAAACAAGACATCCATGTCCATTTGGTCTAGAATTGACGAGAGCACATAATACAACTATAAACGTCACATATACATATAATAATGGATGAAAATATGACATGTGTCATATAAACATAAGGGGGACGGGTGGCCCAGTCGTCTAAGGCGCCGCGATTCGCTGTGTATAGTTGCGTCCCTTGGACACTTCCGAAACCTATGATTGTGGGTTCCAATCCCGGGGAAATCGATTTTGTTTCTAGGTTTGTCAGCACCGTGCTCGTGGGTTTCACCGAAGTGGTAAACGTCTGAGACCTGCATCACTTCGGGCTTTCCTCCCACATTAAGCTGACACGCCGCGATATAACTGGAATACTGTTAAAAGCGGCGTTAAACCCAACTCACTCGCTCACTCACTCATATAAACATAAGAGATGAGAAAGATAACACATTTATGATCCAAAACTGGCCCCCACGGGAGATATCGCTTGGGTGAGATCAAACGATATCTACATTGTAGATATCACTGCAATGAAATTGCATCACAACGCTTTGCAGACCTTTGTGACGTCATTGGTTACCATGACGTCACAATCAAATGACATCACTAATGGCTCTGCTACTGAAGCTGTGAGCAGTACTTTTTACACTTAGAAACAGCTTATTACTGTCTACAAACTAAAAAAGTTGAAAGAATGATGTTGGATGATAAATATAATCTCACCCTCGTGTCTTCTGACATCAAACATATCAACACTCGTTGATAAAAGTAGAAAACCTCCTTGGCAAGCCTCGGAGTTTTTCCACTTTTATAAACTCGTGTTGATATATTTTCTATCAAAAGACACTCGGTTGAGATTTCTATTTAATCAACCATCCCGATTGCTATGATAAGCGAGCTTTAGCTCACAGTTGACCATGATGGGCCTACTTGAAATGAAATACTTAGAATTAGTATTACAACTATATTAGTTTTTTAACTATTATAATCAATACACTGTTTAGACCAACAACAAAATATTTGTGATATGAATACTTATACCTACTTATTATTATTCAGAAGATTTAAACGTAGCCCACGTAGAGATATGAAAGATACAATCTACCAGACGATACATTTCTTTGTTGCTTGATTTGTTTTGACTTAAGCAGCCGTGAAACAATGACAGGATTCAGGCACAAAGAACAACTCGAAGATTGAAGACGTGATAAAATTGTAAATCATCACTAGAAGCGACCGCATCCTGCCTAAAGCAAATCTTTGTCTCCGGGTCGCTAAATGTCCCTATAACTCACAGACGGGACATCATTTCCCCCAGAACATTTGTCATTAACAGAGTTTCCCTTCCGTTATCTGGTTATCGTTACAAAGTGGTCTTATCGACGATGTTCAATACCGCTCCAGCTACCGGCGGAGGAATACGTGGCCTCAAACAGTGACAGATGCGAGGTAGTGATGCGGTCGTGGCGGACTAACTTCTGAAGGAGTATGTAAATTTGCATAATAAACGCTGGGTGAGGTTGTGAGATATAAACGAGTGGCGAGTCGTATGGATTAAAGGAGCAGTGATAACGCTACCTCTCGCTTGCCTGTTGTTAAAGGGGACAGTTAACGCTATCTTGGTTTCATCCGGATATAGTTTAACATTAATGGCAGGAACTTGCTCTCTGCTTTTGGACTAGAAAGTTCTCGCTCTCGGCATATGCTCCAAACAGTTACATCTTTTGGAGCAAGTTAAAAACATAATAAGGTATGTAATTTTTGTTTCTTTTATATATTCTGATTCACAATGTATGTTCTAATTTCTGCACGACTTGTCGCCAGGGGTTGACGATACCGCCCGCGTTTGCATCGTTACGAATTTAGAAAAATATTAAATATTTTCATTTTCATTTTCCATCTAACAGAACACACGATAGGCTTAGTATTTAATATTCTGACAAACTGATGAAAAAGTGCACCCAGAAATCAAACCTCACAACAAAATAGTTTTGATATCGGAATATTTTCATGGATATTTCCCTCTAGAAGCCGAGAAGAATAGAATGATTTGTTGTTTATTATTTTTAATAAAACGTCTATATTCTTGTGCTTCATTCGGGAGGAATCATTCCATGAATGTAAACATTTGGTTATGCTCTCCATTTTCCCGTTTTCAATTTAATAGTAATTTGGCATCAGTAATATTTTCCGATTTTTTATTTTTTCAATTTGTTATTCATAAAAAGTACGTCGTGGAAGGATCTTTTTTTGGTATACAAGCATTTATAATGGGGATGTAGGTGTTCAATACTCCTATATTTAAATAGCTATTTGAATGCATAATTATATGATTGAAAACCAATATTGCTTAATGTGAATTGTAAGGTGTAACTGTCGCTAGATGCATAATCTGCACTAACGGTTGTTTGCTGTAGATTAGTGTGACAGACAACAGACTTGATAGTTGACGTGTGTAATAAAATACGTACACGTCTTGAAATTGTTCAATTTTGTCGACAAGTAGTAGCATAACTGTCATAGATATAACTGTCCATAGCGTTATTTCACTATTAGTCCTCCACAAGGGTATACCTTACTATAATGTGCCTAAAGGAGAAAACCATACCGGATTTGCAGATACGTGAACTACTTAGCATATCCAACTACAGATTATATAGGTTTACATTTATGAATAAAAAACAAATGCTAAAAATCATTGTCTATAGCAGAAGTTAAAATTATCAACGTCGTGGTAGTAGTAGTCGTTGTAGTTGTTGTTGAAGTTGAAGGCCATGATTAAACATAACGGAAACAGACTCCATATTAATTTTTTGAATAATGTTGCCCATAATAGTTACTATTTAATGTTTATTTCTTGTTTAACGCCGCACTCAGTAGTATTACAATTACATGACGGCGGCCTATTAATTATCAGGCCTCGTCCAGACAATCCAGTGATCGGTATTATGAGCCACTATCTACGCAACTATCAACGAAGGCACCGAGCCGACCTCCGACCCATTAAGACCCCTCATACGACCAGCATAGGTTGTTGAGGACCAGTTCCAGCCTGGAATACCCATGTGCTACTTTAAACATATACAAATAGATAATGGAGCTTATTAAGTGATAAAAGGGCGGTCGGGTAGCATAGTGGGTAAAGCGTTCGCTAATCACGCCGAAGACCCGGGTTCGATTCCCGACATGTGTTAATTGTGTGAAGCCCATTTGTGGTGTCCCCCGCCGTGATATTGCTGGAATATTGCTAAAAGCGGCGTAAAACCATACTCACTCACCTACTATTAAGTGATAACAAGACAAGGGAGAGACAAATGAGGCAGGGTTGTGTTTCATTAACTCTCTCAAGCACAGGTGATGAAGCAACTGGGCCTCTATTCAACATCGTACGGAGAGTGTTGAAAAAAACATTCACCTTGAAATCTACAGTGAAATGCTTTCATTGTCACCCATAGTGGGCGGGGTGGGCCAGCGGTCAAAAGCGCCAGGCTGGCATGCGCCAGATGCTGAGGTATCCCGCTAGTGACTGGGTTGTTATTCAGCCTTGGGACCAACAATGTTTCCAGGTCCTTGCAGTGTTGTCACTACCCCTAGTGCACAGTACAGTCACCATGCACACTCGCTCGTCCGATGGTAGATGACCAAATGGTGGAAACACGAATACGTACATACACCCGAAACACAACCGAAACACGTGTGGTGTCACCCTGGGCAAGTGACTTAGTTCAAATGTGCCTCTGTTCACCCAGCAGGGAATGGGTACCCGATATGTGAGGTGGGTGTAAAAACATTCTAGCGCCCCTGGGCTGCTTAAGTTGTATACTCCCCAGGGAGTTGGGAATGATAACTGGAACGCAAACGGATCCACTTGTAGGAGATACAAAAACAGCCTTTGAGCAGATACTAGTACCTGGTTACCTGCGGTATATAAATGTATAGTGTTTAGGGCTTTGAGACAAGCTACTTTTTCATAATGCAACGTTAAGAGAGAGTGAGTTGTGTTTAACGCCGTTTTAACAGTATTCCAGTTATATCACGGCGTGTCAGCTTAATGTGGGAGGAAAGCCTGAAGTGATGCAGGTCTCAGGCGGTTACCACTTCCGTGAAACCCACGAGTACGGGTATGGTGCAGACAAACCTAGAAACATAATCGGGGTGACTTGGGATTCGAACCCACAATCATAGGTTTCTGGCGTGAACCAAGGGACGCAACTCTGCACAGGGAAATGCGGCGCCTTAGACGACTGGGCCACCCGTGCCCCCGAAGCGTTAAGAACGTAACAAATTGAAGTCGCGTGTTTAGGTGTGCCATGAATTTCATTAGCAACAGTAGAATAACATATACATAAAATGTATAATTGACAATAAGAACAAGTTTATATTCATATAACTGACTCTATCAACCCAAATAAAACCTTCGCACAGCGACATCGTGTATTTCGACACCGTGAGGGAAACTGGATATTAAACTGCCGGGCAAAATAATACTTGAAAAAATTACAAAAGTTGTCAAAACAGGCTGAATAGGCACCGAAACACTGCAAACGTTAGGTCCAAAACTCAACTATGATACCCGTATCAAATAATCACTATCACAAACTATTTCTTGTTTGTGTCATGCTTAGCCAGACCGCCTCCGTGGTCTAGTGGTAGAGCGTCCGCCCGGAGAGCGGAAGGTCCGGGGTTCGATCCCCGGCTGCGTCATACCAAAAGACGTTAAAAGATGATACTTGTTGTTACCCTGTCTGGCGCTCGGCACTAAGGGGCTAAAACAAGGACTGTCGGCTCGGAGTCAGTATACTGTGTCTGTGTGGGGTATTCATGTTAAACTGCGGCATGGTGTCTCAGTGAGCTAGCACTATAAATCGGCATCAGTCCGGACTAGTACAAGCAGCCACACACACACACACACGTGCATGCACGTCGCAATATAAGTGCATAATCTTGGACGCGACGTTAAACCCAATTTCACCACCTCACCTCATGCTTAGCCACCATCAAACATGGGAGTGTACTTTCTTTTGCCAGGTTGTTCAGTCCAGGCCACTAAAACACATCGTCCTATTGCGGCTCTTCTGGATCTTAGCTAACTAAACAAACATAAATAAAGAATTATTCCACCGGCCTCGTGAAGTAGGATGTCTTAGGCTCTAGGCCATATCCACTTACGTGTGCCAACACGAATAAATTGATTGCATAGATGTATTATTCTATTCCTTTCTTTGTTTTTCACAGAGAAGCGACATGTCTCCGCGACATAATCAAGAATGACTTTTTATTTATTGGGTAGAATAATCCTTTAATTTCACTCATAATCATTTAAGTCCTTTTAATCATCAGCGATCGATGTTGCAATGTAATTCATCTGTCCTATATTCGATCACCGTGTAATTCATCTGTAAAATCGTCCGTGCTAAAAATCCACTCAGATCCAGTTCCAAATATTTGAGAAACCCGTTAGAATTGTTGTTGTCTTCCGTGTTGGCCGCTTAAACCACGCCATATGTGCAGTGAAGAATCGGCTCCCAATTAAACCAAACGCAGAAAAGTCGCCCTAACATCGCGACTCAATAGTCGGCACGCGCCCGGACCTCGATCCGGTATTGTCTGCGCGTGCAGTTCTTTGAAGTTGCCGATCACATCTGTCCGGTTTTTACGAGTGATTTCTCGTGTTATGATATATCGCCGTTATTGGCGACGGGGGAAAATCATGTAAAACATTTAATATTTCCCTTTACTATGTATGACTAGTCGGCTTTGTGAACGTTAGATATTGTTAATTTACTGGAATATTTGTATTTATGGGTCAAACACCGAGTGTCAATTTGTGACGTGCCCTGATATAGGTAGTATCATGAATACCTAGAATGTCACTTTGTGAAAGCGATATAGACGACGAATACGATATTCTCAATTCATCCGATTACGATATCTATACATGTTATTAATTATCATTTAATTTCAAAGTTTGTATATTTATTAGAAGTGACAAACTTTGTGACTTAATCTTTCCAAGTATGTTCATTATATCATAAAGGGGCGAAATAGAATTGATTTCGATAATTAATTAACTTTGGTAACCTAAGGACTGGTTTGGGTGGGGAAGAGGAGATTAGCTCTAAGTAATTGTACTTGCTGTGCGCAATGCTGTTGCTGTTTTTAATTTTTGCCAACCGCATGATACCCGTGTCCCATGAAATAAACGTTGTCTTGTCACATTAAACACCCGTCAAAAACACATGCAAAGGCAAGTCTGTTATTCACCAGAAAAGAAAACACGGGAAGATAGGGTACAAGTCAAGATAGGGAATTGCATCGGACATAATTTTTGTCACTGATGCGGATAATTTGGAAGTGTCCTCCACATTTCTACCATGAAACTTCCTGAAAGCTTCACTGAGGCCTTGAATGTTGTCACCTTGATCAAACAACGTATAAAAAGTCCTATGTTGCTCTTTGAAAGGTCTTCTTAGAAAGTGCATGCTTGATTGTACCTCCGACATAGGTACAATGTGTGAAGCCCATTTCTGGTGTCCCCCGCCGTGATATTGCTGGAATAATGCTAAAAGCGGCGTAAAACCATACTCACTCACTCACTCACTTGATTGTACCTCACTGGCTGTAGAGTGTAGACACCAAAGGCTGGAGCTGCTGAAATCGCTCGACGTTAAGGGAAAGTTGACTACTGGAAAGCGGAAGTGATCCATCTGCTCAATATGTCCTGTAGAGAGTTTCTTTTCACGCTGAATC